GATACCAAATGCAATTGATGATCTCCTGGGCTAAAAAAAAAAGAAGAAGAAGTAGATGGCCTCTCAACTGCATTGGTTCCCAAATGTCTCTGGGCTCCTTTCTCATTTGAAAATGAAGTCCTAAAGGCCCAAACTTTAAATTGGATCAAATTCTCCTTGGCCCAAGTTCGGAGGAAGACCCAATTGAGGACTACCAAACAAACACTTAATTGGATTGGCAAAATCTTTTAAAACTTTTCAGTACACTGAAAAACAGAGTATACGAGGTTAGATCTAATGAAGTGAGTTAATTTTACGCAACATGACGATTGGTAAACACTGAACAAAGTTTAAATTCACATTGAAAAATGTACATCCAACAGTGCTTAAACAAAATTATCTTAAATGGAAGAATACCTCTAAGTAGTGAAAAAAAAAACCACATATCTTAGAGATTTAAGAGAGAGAGATCAAATTTTTTTGGGAAATAATAATTTTTAAATATTCTTGTCCAATTGGATCTCCAAAAATTTCCAAACTCCCTTTTCTTTCAATAGTCACTTTTTTGTTTGGGTAAAGATATGTTTGGCCACAAACTAAACTAGGGAGAAGGATATGTGTATACCTAGCCTTGGCAGGGTAAAGAAAAATTAACTTCAATTGCTGGGAGAAAGTGTAATATTGTCTGAGTTTGGAAGGAATATGCATATATTAGCTTTATGGGTTTTAGGCTATATGGGATTCTTGAATTAGTTCCAGCTTGGATTTTGAGTGTATAGCCACTAACCATTGCCTCCACATATTCTTGCAATGACACATTGTGAAGCAACCAAAGTCAAAGACATTTATCTCAATGAATAATTACTATGATATGTATACAACATTATCTCGAACTCTTAATATAAAAATTAAATAAATAATTTAAAAATATTTTTTAAAAATAGTTAAATTAATTATTTATAATAAATATGTATTGTCTCTTTTAAGATATATTTGTTAATCATTTGTATTGAAATTACCCTTTTCATAAAAGCTTTTAACATGTGCATTCATCATAAGAATTATTTTATAGAAAAAAAAATCAATAAATATAAAAAAAATGTACTTAAGTCTTATATTTAAGACTAAAATTTTAATTAGCTTTTATATTAAAAATGAGAAGTAACTCCATTTTTCTTCCACTTCGTGTATATAACAATGCCCTAGTTCTCAGGGTATTATTAGCTATATATCTTATGGAAACTGGAAGTTGGCATGCCATGAGATCTCATAGTTTGTGTCCTGTACCACTAATTCAGGCAAATGCTTTTAATCACACACATTTCAATTGCCGAATTCAATATTGTGTGTGGATGGAGGTCTTCTTAATATCTATTTCTAAATGATATATTTAATCCTTTTTTGTATAATATAACATGATATCTTTTATTATCATGTTAGATTTTATTGAGTAATGAGATTCAAGTATTATCCGGTTTAATTACAATAATTTTCGTAAAGCAATTATTTTTTTACATATTCATAAGGTTTGGAACTCTTTGACTTTATCTATGAACAGGGGAGTCCAATCTCTTTTTCCTAACACAACTATTATTATTACTTAAAGAGTTTAATATTATTGATAAATAACAATAGCATTGTGCGATCCATGACTCCGATTTCATTTATAATAATAAGATAAGGCTTGTCATGAAATCGTCTACACTAGTATCTAGTGTGCATGCTGATTTTTATTGGTCCATTTTGATGATAATGCCCCAAAAAACTAAAATATACTCATTTCTATATTTTATATTGCTATCCCCTGTTTTTAATATAAAACCTCATTTGATTTTTATTTTGATCGTCAATATAAAACATCAATTCACTTTGTCTCTCATATTTATTTTTATTTTTTTTAAAATAGTCCGTTCTAATCAATAAACTTGCTTAGCAAGGATATTTTAGAAAAAAAAATAACACCTATTTATTACAAATAACTAACATAGCATATTTTCTTAATCTATTTAAATTAATCAACTAGCTTTTATATTTAGGACCGGAGGTAGTGCTAATAACACATTCTTTTTGTAGACATGCCCACGTTCTGGTTTTATTGAAAGTAAATCAGAAGTCTTACAAACTTGTGGGGCAAAATAGTTTGGGGAATTGACATAAAATGTTTCTAAAGAAGCCGAAGCAGATAGAGGCAGAGTTTGGTAGTAAATGAACTGAAGCAGAAACATGGGGCTTTGAAATTAAAAGGCAAGCTTTTCTCTCAAGCTATAGATTGAATTATTCAAAGAACATATCACATTGGAGATAACTCTTGAATGATGTCTCATCGTATCAAAAAAATAATATAAAAAGCAAGGAAGAAAACCAAAAAAAGAAGCAAAAAAAGGGAGAAAAATGAGGCCTCCTATCAAAAAATAACATAAAAATTAGACACAAAAACTTATCTTAATCAAATAGTTTGCATTATTATGGTGAAATGGGCAAGTCCTACATGCTTATTAAAAAAGATCAATGTTAAGTATTATATATAATATTCTCTTATAAGAACAAGAAATACGTTAATTAATTAGCTTAAACTATTTTAAAAGGGAGGAAAATAAAGCATGAGCCTAGCCAATACTCAAGTATACTTTTAAGCAATGTTTTAAAAGCCGGACCGGAAGTCGAGCCGGAAAGATCAACAGGTCATGGTTCAATCGGTCGGATCGGTCGGACCGTTTGGTCAGACTGGTGATGCAATAATTAATTTAAAACAATATTATATACATATAATTAGTATATATGAAAAATATCAAATTATTAAATAATTTAGAAATGCATTTAAATAATCTAAAATTATAATGAAATCATTGAAAATGGACTAAAACCTTATATATTTAAATTTATGTATGTTTAAAATATTTAATGATATTACAAATTATTAATTCATTCAAATCAAAATATTTTTTTAAACGATAGACCAAATATCAAAACAAAAAGACTAGCAACTTACGATTTTAACACCACAATATATGAAATTTTCAATGAAATAATACTCTATGGTTATAAATAGTCTAAAAATATATTAGGATACTTAAGGGGATCAATTTTTTTATTTTTTCTTCTATTTTTTTTTAAATTTTTAGTATTTTTTCAGTCAGGCTAAAAAACCGTCCGGTTTTCTGAAAACCGTTCCGGTTCCCGGTCCAACTCCGGTTTCGGCTTAATAACGGCTCAACTCCGGTCCAATCCGGCTCAACTATATGAACGGTTTTTTGGTCCAAACCGAGCCGTTAACGAGTCCGGGTCACGGTTCAACCGGTTCGACCGTCCGGTCCGGTCCGGTTCTTAAAACATTGCTTTTAAGTCACCTGTCACTATTATTTGTCAAAATCCAAATAATAAATAAAATAAAGGATGAAAGGATTTGGTAAATTGCACATATAATAATGGCCTTCTTTCTATATTTTGATGGATTAATAATGAGAGGAAACACATTAATTGTAAGGATATTTATTAATTTTCTGGCAAAAAAGGAAAAGGCACCACATCACAATTAAAGCCCAAAGGTAACATATATAAGATATTAGTGGCCGCATATATTTGACTGCTTCTTGCGGGAATCTAAAAAGGTTCAATATCCCTTGTTCCTATATTTGAGAATCTGCCATGCCCCTGTTCTTTTCACTTAATTGACCTTTTCCCCTCTCCTTTAGATTTTTACCCATTTTATCCCTCTAACCTTCTGTTATTATTCTTATTAATTACTCATCCGGTTCTTAATATAAAACCTAATTGTTGAGTTGATTTTAGTCCTAAATATAAAACCTATTTATCAATTTTTTTCTAAATTATCCTTCTTGATACTCCTCAACCATAGTCAAATAGAAGAGGGAGAGGGGATATTAGGGAAGATGATTATAGTGTTTAAAAAAACATGTCATATTTCTTATACTTAACTAACTTACTTAACTTTCTTAATCTAATCAAATTAGTTAAATTAGTCTTATATTAAGGACTAGAAGAGTAACATATTAAAAACCAGATCCATTGGTGGTAATTTTGATCTCAAACTACTGATCTGATTATGATTTATTCGTAGTTGAACAGATTAATTTTGATAAAAAAATATTAAAAATAATTTCGAATAAGAAAAATAATGAATTAATTGATAAAATGAAGTTATTAAAGATAAAAGGGGAAATATAAAATATAAAAAGCCAATAAATACTTTATAAGAAAATAATTAAAAGATGAAAAATATTAAATATCTATTATATATCTGTGCTTAAAAAAGTAATTTTAACATATTTAAAATACTTTTTATTATAAAAATAAATAACTTTCGTTTATTACCATCGTTAGATTTTGCTTAAAAAGCAAGTCTGTCAGCTTAGGCTTATAGACTAATTAAGAGGAAAATCTCACGCATAGTGATAATCTAAAGTTATTTATTTTTATAATAAAAAATATTATTAAGAAATATTTTATTTAAAGGAATACTATTTTTAAAATGGAAGAAGTAACAATTATAATTACATTTTGAACCTTATAGATTAAAAACAATTAACGATGGACACTCAAATATTCTGACCCAGTAATTTCAAATATTATATAATTACTTTATCTAATCCTTATTATGAGAACTCTGTAACTAATTAAAACGTACTAATAAAATTAGTTAAAAGTATTAAATTTATTATAAAATTCAGGTGATTTCTAATATTATTCCCATTAACTATACTACATTTCAAACTCATATTAAGTTTTAATCTCTCACTAGCCTTATTAAACATGAGGATATATAAAAAAAAATTATATTTAGTGTCATTAAAACTGCCCAACGTTCACAAACATCACCAAAAATTCTTTGTAGAAAGGCTTGTATAATAAGGGGCAGAAGGAGTGTATGCATAAAAATGTAATCATACTTTCATGTCTCTAGTGTGGAAATGCGTGTATTGATAGCGATAACCTCTCTATAAATATTAATCCTCTTATCAAATTAAGTTTCATGCCTCATTTCCCCTAAACCAATGGCAACGCACAGCAGTAGTGCTTTCCTTACAACTCTCCTCCTCCTTCTCCTCCTCTTCCTTTTTTCCTTTGTCTCAGGCACCAAAAAGAATGAACAGGTTTCTTCTTCCTCCTCCTTCTCCTCATTGTGTTGCTTTATACGATTATCTGGGTTTAGTTCTGTGTTCGTTACATCATTACTGAAAGATATATTTTTATTATACATATCAGATCTACATAGTCGACATCAGAGGCGATCATGGAGACAGAATAAAGATGCAGGATATAGAACATATCCATCGCTCCTATCTTGTTTCTGTGAAAGAAACTGAAGAAGAAGCTCGGGCATCCCTTCTCTACAGTTACAAACACACCATTAATGGCTTCTCTGCTGTGCTTACCCCAGAAGAAGCCAAGAGGCTATCAGGTATAATCGTTTATAACTGATTCATTCAATTAGGTCATTGAATTAATTTATTCGAAGAAATTAAATTAGGAAACGTTTCGGACAGAAATGGAGGGAGTGGCTTCTGTGCGTGAGAGCCAACCAGGAAGGTACTCATTGCAGACCACAAGGTCATGGAAGTTTGTTGGGTTAGAAGAGCCATTGAATCCTTGGAAAGAAGAGGCCATTAAGAAGAAGAAAGGAAAAGACTTGCTCTCAAAAGCTAAATATGGACAAGATATTATTGTTGGAATGATAGATAGTGGTACGTAATATATATTAATCTGTCTTTCATTCTTAACATCGCATATAAATACATCTGCATTTCCATGCCTTTACCCCTATATATCACTTCTCTTCAGACATAAATAATATGTGTGTGTGTGTGTGGCTGTTTAGAGATGAATATAATCAAGAGTATGCGTTTAAGGACAGGACTCCGAAGGGTCATAACTAGTAAGAAGCCGGCTAAAGTGCCGTGGTTTGTAAGTTCAAAAAGCTTTCCTAACTATTTTTTTGGGATTGGATTTTCTCTTTATGCTTCATGTTTTTAGTAAAAAAGAGATTGTGAGTTCGATTCTACTTATAATGTCAAGACTTCAGTAGTTATCTCTTTAGTTTAAAAAAAAAAGAAAAGAAAAACAGAGTATGCATTTGAAAGGGATAGAACCCTTTGATTTGAAAATAGCCTAAACTCAATTTAATTTAGAACCTTTACACATTTAATGAAATCTATGAACCTTTCAAATTTAGCTCGTACCTTTTTTTATCCCCCCATTTTAATACTTTGAATATTTTTTTTTGAACAAAATAGAATGCAGCATAAATAACATTTTCTAACATGTAAATATTTTGGAGTCAATAATTTTGATTTGATTTTGATTTAAGACAGAGAATAATATGTATGAGTGAGATATTACATATATACAAAAATGCATAAGCAGGTGTGTGGCCAGAATCAAAGAGCTTCAGAGATGAAGGTATGGGGCCTCTTCCACAAAGATGGAAAGGAATCTGCCAAAATGGGACAGCCTTCCCTTCCTCCTTGTGTAACAGGTCACTTATTCTTTCTCTCTCCTCCCTTGTTTTTTTCTTCCCCTATTTTTATTTATTTATTTATTTATGTTTTACACTTTGACTGTGTACTGTTTTCTTCATTTTGATGTTACATTACATGAGAGACAACTGAGTCATACACACACATGTGAGTCAATATAGGTGTCAGGTACAGACACACATGACCACCAAGATTTTCTGGTTTTTTGGACAGTTACAGAAGAGGAATTTCTGCCCTTAATAATTAATAATTTACCCTTGCACCCCCAAAAAAAGTTCATGTTTAAGGCTGAATCCTTTTCCTGACAAAACTGACTCATTTTACAGATACCTTTTCCTTCTCTTCAATCTTGATGGGATAATCATTCATGTTTTTTTTTTGGGGGGGGGGGATACTGTATATATACATCTTGAGAATGATAATTATTTTGAAGATTAAGACCTTTAATATAATTTTCATTTAGATTTGGTTAAAAAAAATTGTCCTTTTGATGTAATGAGCATAGAGCTTGAAGTACAGCCAATATAATAAATTAGGGAGTTCTAGTAGCTTTTGACATAATCATTACATAATCTCTGGATTAAAGCTTAGTTGAGTTTAAATTATAATAAAGACGTTATCCAATTGTTTGAACTCTACCCCTCTTTAATTCTTGTGGGAAACTTTATAATGATGACAAGACAAACACTTTTTGAAACCAAAGTATTTTCTATATTCAACTACTTTAGAACCTTTGAATGCGCAGGTTCTTTCCTTAATCAAGCCACAAATTAATTAGTACCTTGTTTTCTCTTTCACATACACACATATATATATGAATGAATTTTAGAGTACAATATATATATATATATATTGTGTAGTGGCTTAGATATTACTAAAGCAAAAGCTGTCGATTTGTTTTCCCCTCAATTGCGTAACTTGTTTAGGGTTATGTCATTTTCAGATGTCACAGTCTTTATACATATTATAACATCAAAGAATACCAAAAGCAACTTAATCTACTTGCATTTATATATAGGATAATGTGCACAGAATAATCCATTACCTTGTTAATTAAGATAGCTTTTATTTTATTTTATTGAGAAAATGTCAGCTGTTTTCAAAAAGCGTATAAATTAATCAAGTAAGTTTGGAGGTCATTTCAAAAAGAGCATACCTAATATTTCAACTCGGTAAGAATAAACCCAAATATATGCCCCTTGAATTATATTTTTGTGTATATATGCCCTCTCAAATTTTGAGTTATATGCATCTAAGTTTTGCAAACTTTAATACACACAGATAATAAGTAGTTAACAAAACCACTAGTAATTAAAGATATATGCATAAACCTAGGAAAGTGTAGGGAGATTCATTGTAACGTTTCAAAGCTTAAAGAGGTCATCTATATATAACATATATCAATCTTTTATGACTTGAATTATCTTTATTTTACGTTATGGCAATGAATCAGAATCTCTCCTTTTTTTTTAAATTTTAAAAGAAAAAAATCTTAAAAATACATGTAGACAAGATAATATATTATATCTGACCTGATGCAATTAAAATTAAAATTTTAATCATAAACTTATCATAGATAGCCTTTAATTATTATCATGTGGACAAGAACATAAATGATATAACTAAAGTATGGGAAATTACAGATAATTGAAAAGAGCTGCACAAGAAAGCGGGAGCAAAGGATTTCAAAATGACATGAAACAGATTGAAGTTTTCCCATTGCACTGTGCCATATATGTTGCTTTGTTGAACCTGTGAGACACCTTTTTCGAGGAAGAAGAGATTAAGGACAAAATGATAAGAGTCACAGAGGGCATTTTCAGTGCCATCTTTTGAGAAGCAAGTGGGGCTAAGTCTATATATAACACACTTAGTGGGTGTCCCTCTCAGTCTCCCTAGAGTATATATTACTTCTAATTTTTAATATAATAACTAGTTAATTAATTTAGATTGATAAAAAATTATTTAAATTAGTTATTTATAAAAAAATAAATATTATATTTTGTAAAATATTCTTACTAATCAAGCGTAAGTAACTAAAACTACTATTACTATGAGAATTATCTTGAAATAAAAACCAAATTATCTCTTATATTAAGAACCGACATAGTGTGTGTGCATATATATATATATATATATATATATATATATTATACGTCTAGCTACGTGATTCTTTCTTTGTCTTTTTGACTTAATTTCCTTTTGTCTTCTTTCGTTTTCTCATCTTGTGATCTTCTTTCGCGTTCCACTGTCCTCCTCTTCAACCTCTCTGCCCCTTTTCCATTATTTTATCCTCATCACACTGTCTTGTCCTTTTTCTGGGTCATCCATGTTCCGCACAAATCTCTTGTCCACACCCTATTCATTATAATAAGTGAACTAATTAATTGAAAGTATATATTATTGATTCCATGGTTAATTAATTTAGCACGGGTTGATGATATGAATTTTATATTATTGATTGGTAGAATACCAAGTTCATCAAATTAAAAGGCACATGGTATGAGCGTCTTGATCAGAAAAGAGTACAAGTGTACTGTTAAAAACATGCCTTCTAATTCAATTCAATTAAAGTTTGTTGCAATAATCTTCAATTTAAATTGGTATAGAGGGCAAGGATTCTCGTTTTTTTTTTTTACCAAGTAATTGTGGATTAAGTCTTCATATATATATATATTCAGGAGATTTATTTCTTGCATTCTTTTCTCGGTATTATAGCCTCTGTTATTACTAAAAATATTCCTGATATATACCTTTAAAGAAACAAGTTACGATTGAAATGGGGGGTTAAGAGCCTATGGGTAGTCCAATTAATGAAGAATGTTTGTAACTACTTGAATTAGCTTAAAATAATTTTTTTATTTGTTTTACTAGATAAAATTCTTATCGCATATTTTTTTGGAAAAATCCCAAAAAGATGACTATTGAATTTCAAAATTCCAAATCAGGAATTACTACAAAAATGTGTTGTCATTTGCTTTTCGAATGTAGTCATTTTCTTTACGAGTTTAGTAACTAATACTGATTTAGAATTTTAAAATTTAACAAGCACTTTTTTTAGATTTTCTCTATTTTTTTTATACACCCGAAATAATTCTTATCACGTATTTTATCTTTTGTATAACCCAATCACTCTCAAGTATGCAAGGAAAGCAGTTAATCCGATCTTGAGCGCGTGAAAGAGTGAGGCCTTGTTTGGAATTATGTTTGAAATCACTCATGAACACATGGTAAAATTCTTCTCACATGTTTATTTTGTATTCTATAAATCACGATTAAAAAACTGTTTATAAAGCCCTCTAAATGAGCCCAAATCAATTTTTATTTTATTTATTTATTATTCTTATTATTATTATTTTGGTTTGAGGGGGCTTGTTTTTTTCCTGAGCTGTACTGGATTGTGTGTAGCTGATAAGAAATTGAAAAGCGGAGAAAGGTGTTATGGATAAGGTAGCGACCTTTTGCAATATGGATGGTCCATGAATTTCGAGGTGTGTTGAACTTTGTGGAGGTATTTTTACCCCCAAAAAAAATAATAATAATAATAAAATAACGTACAACATTTCGATTTCTCTTATGAGTAGTTCTTGTTATTAACATTTGTTAAATTTAAAACCCACATATTTAAATTTCGTTCAGAAAGTAAATCTTAACTAGTATTTAAGGGTTTTATTCCCCTTCCTTTTAAAATTTTCTATTCTCTGTTATCTTTCAATTATCATCACTCTGTTTGAATTTCTATTTTTTAAATTAATGTGAAACTTATTTATTTTTAAATTAAATAAGCATATAAGTGGTCATGATTATATATATTCAATCAGCATTTTCAGTCCACACAATTTTCTTATATCTTTCTTGCATTTTGTCCACATTAAGCCCTTATATCTTTTCGGACTTTTTTTTTTAAATTCACCCATCTAACTTTTGTTTTCATTGGGATTTAAAATTAGAATATGTTACCTCTGCTCCTAAATATAAATAAAACTTAGTTTGTATTTTGTAACATAATTTATACTATAAATTAAGTCTCATATTGACATATTTAAGACAGGAGGTAGTATTTGGATAAAGGACAAATGAGATAGAAACAAAATTCAAATTTAAATTAAAGACAAACTTTATATATAAAAATTTCTCCTTGCTTCTAGTGCTCTTAAATCCAATTTCATAATTAAAATGGCTAATTTAATGATTGATTCTTGCATGCAAGAATCACATTACATAATTTTCAGGTGAAAAAAAAACAAAACTAATTTTTTCTTAAATAGGAAATTGATTTGTCGTTCAATTCTTTATTCGCAGGAAGATCATCGGAGCTCGGTACTACCTGCAAGGCTATGAAACAGCATTTGGCTCTCTGAACGAGAAAGAAGACTACAAATCAGCTCGAGACAAAGACGGCCACGGGTCCCACACAGCCTCCATAGTCGCCGGCCGCACCGTCCCGAGCGCGTCGGCCCTCGGTGGATACGCGAATGGCACGGCCTCCGGCGGAGCTCCGTTGGCCCGATTGGCCATATATAAAGCGTGCTGGCCGATCAAAGGGCAATCCAAAGACCTCGGAAACGTGTGTACGGATGTTGACATGCTGAAGGCCATCGACGATGCCATTGAAGACGGTGTCGACGTTCTGAGCATTTCAATTGCATATCCAAAACCTCTCTCTTACAGAGACGACGTGATTGCGAGAGCGGCTTTGGAGGCTACGAGGAAGAACATTGTGGTGGTTTGTAGCGCTGGCAACTCTGGGCCTTCAAGTCGGACTTTGTCCAACCCGGCTCCGTGGGTCATTACAGTCGGGGCAAGCACTCTGGATCGGACCTTTCTTGCCCCAGTTTTGCTCCGTAATGGGACCAGAATTGAGGTAATTAAATTAAATGTTTGTTTTTTGCCGGTCTTCTTCTAAATATGATATTCCTCCGCTCCTTAACATAAAATCTATTTAACTAATTTGATTAAATTAAGAAATTTAAATAAGTTAGTTAATTATAAAAAATATAGCATATTTTTCCTAAAACACTATAATCATCTTTCTTAATATCATTGCTCTCTCACTTACTTAATTATGGTTGAGAGAGTACCTATAGGATAATTTAGAAAAAATTGATAAATATAAAAAATAAGTCTTATATTTAGGACCAAAATTAACTTAACAATTAGGTCCTATATTAAGAACCGGAGGAGTATTGTTTATTAAAAAAATGATATTGTTAAAAATGACCAAAATATGTCTTATTACGTATTAATTTTTTTATAAGTATCTTATTTTCATCCATACAGCTAATTAATCTAAATTTAATCATATTATTGCTCCTTAAATGGCAAAACTTTTCTGTTTTTATTTTTTAAAGATTTGTAAGAATCATGGGTAACACGTACGAGTCATGACAGTATGAGTAGCTTTATTTAATAATAAATAAATAAATGTTAAAACAATAAAGACAATTGAAGTTTTCAGGTATATTCTTTCGTCGATATTAATATGATGTGTTATATGTTTAAAGAATGTGAGTGGGTGCGTGTTCGTGTTTAATTATAATAACATTTATTTTGGTTTTGAACACTCTATAGGGACGATCAATCACACCAATGCAAATGAAACGCAGCTTCCACAAATTGGTATTCGCAGGAGACGTTGAAAATTCAAGCGTTGCCAAGAACGACTCAGGGTGATTATTGTTAATCATATTCTGCGACATTAAACTAAGTGCATCTTAAACTAAGGAAAGCTAATCAAAAAACACAAACAAATGAAACGCAGGTATTGCCTGGAGGGCTCGCTGGAGGCCAAAAAGGTTAAAGGGAAGATAGTTCTGTGCATGAGAGGGAAAGGAGCGAGAGTTGCAAAAGGCTTAGAGGTGAGAAGAGCTGATGGGGTTGGTTTAATTCTGGGAAACTCTGAAGCATTTGGAAACGACGTACCATGTGATCTTCATTTTGTTTCAGCCACTGGTGTGTCGTACCAGAATGCCCTCAAGCTTCTGCAATATCTGCGTTCATCTAATGATCCCAAGGTTCAACTTCTTCCCGGAACCACTGTGCTGCACACTAAACCTGCTCCTCTCTTGGCCAACTTCTCTAGTCGGGGTCCTAACATTGTCGATCCCTTTGTTCTTAAGGTAATATTTCCTTCATGCACACAAACTTCCAAGAAAGTTACAGTTATGAACATAAATCTAAAGCGAGAACCCATCCTAGAAGACTAGCTTGTTGGATGGACGAATCCCTTAAACTTATAAACTACACTTTACTTGTGAGACTGATAACTGTTACTCTCATTTTGCTTTGGACGAGACCACAAACATAAAATATAACTTTCATTCCATGATTTATTGATGGCATATCAAACGGATTCTCTATAATCATTATTCCATGACACTACATTCCCTATGACTCTTTGAACCAAACGGGCACTTTATGTGCATCTGAGGAGGATAAGACCAGAAAGTTAACCTCTTTTGTGTGTTTGGGGTGAAATGCAGCCAGACATCACAGCACCAGGAGTGGACATATTGGCAGCATGGACAGAAGCAGATGGGCCAACAAGGTCAAATAAAGACAACAGAGTAGTGAAGTACAACATATTTTCTGGTACTTCCATGTCTTGTCCTCACGTTAGTGCCGCTGCTGCTCTTCTCAAAGCTCTACACCCAACTTGGACCTCTGCTGCTATCAGATCTGCCCTCATCACCACAGGTACCTAACCTTCATTCTCAAATTTGATATGATAACCTGCCTGTCAACAGTAGTTCACTTTTATACGCTGATAGGGATGACGATCATTCAGATTTGACCCATACAAGAACTGCTTGATTTGTCTCTTGCATAGGTTGAGTATGGTCATATTTAATTAGACTTTAAAATGGGCTCAAAGGAAAAAACATAATCCAACATGTATAATTTGGGTTTGAGACAAGGTCAAGAGAGAGATGATCTGATATGTGATGAATGATCTGCAGAGAAGCCATACACACAAATAAGATAAATCTACAACATTGGATGCAATTATCTCACATGTAATTACTTAAGCAGAACCTCATGGTTAATAATTTATCCAAAGATTTAATTGTTAACAGAGTTTAATAGCATTATACGGTTCATGTAACTGACCCCTCCTAATAGGATGAAGCTTATTATTGTGGTCATCCTAGTTAATTACCAGTTAAATAATGGTTTTCTTGCAGCTAGCACAACAGACAATATGGGAGAGCCAATGAAAGAAGAAACAGGAAAACCTGCGACTCCATTTGCATATGGCTCTGGCCACTTCCAACCTCTGAAAGCATCAGACCCTGGGCTAATTTATGATTCTTCCTACATTGACTACATTCTTCACACATGTACCCTTGGAGAAACTCAACGATTGAAACTCAACTATCGCTGTCCAAATCCATTACCTGACCCTAACAACCTTAACTATCCATCCATCCAAATTCACAGGCTCAGTGGGAGCAAGAAGACCGTTGTGAGAGTGGTCACAAACGTTGGTAGCCCCAAGAGTGTCTACAAGTTCAGTGCTCAGTCACCAAAGGAATACACCATCTTAGCCTCTCCGAATGTTCTGGAATTTGAAAATGTTGGGCAGAAAAAGAACTTCACCATCACAGTGATGGCAAAAAGAAGTCAAGTACCAGAAAAGATTGAGTCAGATGAAGATCAGTACTATTTTGGGTGGTATGCTTGGACTTACAAGCAATATGTTGTTAGAAGTACAGTTGCTGTATCTTTTCTATAATGTTTCTGATATTATTATGGTTGTTTCTTAGTGGCGTTTGTCTTTTACATTTGAATTGTACATTAGTCAAATGATGGAAACATTACAGATAGATATAAAAGAAAAGGCAAAATAAGATTGGGATTCAGGAAGGACAGTAGGATCATGGGACTGAGATTTGGGGATTGGTTTGTACTCTCTCAGGATCAGCACGATATAATGTCACCATGGTTTGCTTCCTCAACTTTTTTGTTCTCTGGCCTCTCTGATGTTTTAAATCAAGAGGACTCAGATTTATGCTTCGAAAATGACCGAGATTTTCTGCTTTCATGAATACTGTATTAGATATTATATTTAAAAATTAGATCTTCTGAAGTGAAAAATTAACCACAAATAAAAAAGATGGTGTGTTTATTTGTACTTCTTACTTCAAAAGACCTACTGTCTCTTAAAAGGCATTTCTCAACTTTAAATCTAAAAGCATGCCATCCGTGAACAAAGAGCATGTATTTTAACCTAAAACACGGGAGAGTTGAGAGTTGCAAGAATTAAGTTGCTGGCACAAAGTTAAGTAGATGGAAAAATTATGAAAATACAATTATATTTTCAAACACTTCTTACTAATAGTTATGAACAGTTTTCATATTTATAATTTCTTTTCTATAATTGACATATTTTGCCATACTTTTAAGTTCAATAACACGCAAGTAAAAACACTCTTGCATTATATCTTACAGCATCCTAATTCATACAAGGACTATATCTTGCTCTATTCCAACGTACTCTTCGCTCCTTGAATTAAGCGGTTTCCATACACAGTTATACAGAATTGACATCAGCAGCACCCTTGGGAATTTTTCCGTCCATCTAACTTCATAGAGCAAACTAATGAACTTTTGCATATACAGTTACGTTTATTTACATTAGAATACATTTCTAAGTATCTCGGATCCAGATGAGACTGTTTCCTGGTTGAAACACAATCCCATTTCAGTTGGTTGATTCATCATCTTCATCCCATGTTGTTCTCACTCTAACCCGTTCACCATTAAAGTGAATATACTTCCACTTAATCCCATATCTTTTTATAACCAATCTCATCTTTTCTTCTTGACCTAGTTCTCTGAATGCTCGTGCCACTCTGCGAACTGTGTCTTCATCGGGTTTTACACGCAACTCCTCCATGTCTGCAAATACCTGACCACACAGAAAAGAAAGCAATAGAGCTCACTACGTTGAAGCAAACATAATTTAGACACACGTACAAAGAGTCAAACTCGACAACTGCAGAAAAATCCACGTGAAGGTGAGAAAAGAATGGTACCTCTATTATCTTATCAGGCATATAATGATGGTCATACAATGCAATCATCCTTGAAAAAAGTCTCTTTGAGAGAGAGCGCGTATGGGCATGTATAATCATGTTCCACAATGATTCTGCTTCCTCAACCCTCCGATCTCTATCAAATGCCAGAAGAAGAGTGTCATAAGTCCCCATTGTTGTTCCTTGACCTCTGCTTAACATCCACTTTGCCACCTGAGTAGTGTTAAGAATCAGTAACCAGTGATATTTCTTTCCATCACCATATCTAATCGAAATCAAGTATTGATATAGACAACACACTCAGGGCTAACGAGTGAAAGAGATACCATTCATCAACACCTTAAGTTCGTTTTCTTATGCTCATATGCAAATAGTGACATTCGTAAGAAGGACCAGTACATAACAACATTCATTAATATTAATAGATGACATTTCTTTTATTTTGATGAAAAAACAAAAACTTGAAAATTTTTAATATCCAAAACATACGTAAGATGTAGATCTATAAGCTCGAAAAGAATACAAACTGGACCATTTTCTCAATTGAAGAATAACACTAGCTGGGAATTTGATTTAAGCAGAAGCTACATCAAGGGGAATCAAATTTTGATCAGACGAGCTGCTGTAAATATTTATAAGAAACCTTATCTTGTATCCTAAATCTGAATCATTTACTTAACTAATTTCAGCTTTCTTTAACCCATTCAATTATCCAAGGAGCTGACAACAAACTTTAATTTATTCGCAGGAAAAACAATCTAATGTCAAGTCCCAGATAGCACCCAATTTAAGCCAACTCATACAATTATTAAAAACCATACAAGAATAACCCTTAAGAATATCAAGGTCATACTTGAATTAGCTGAACCCACTGGCCCCTTTTCCTTAAGATTTTTAAAGCCTTGGCAACTGCAATCAATGGGAACTCTGTCTCCCAAGCTGTCCATTTGTCCAATGCCCCATAAACAGCCTCTTTTTCATTAGGGAGTTCAGACACCTGCCATTTCCGAATTAACAATGCACAACAAATTAAACTACACAGATAAGGCCGACTTCTTTTTCCTACCACCGTCTGGTTAATTATTTTGTATTTTTGTTCATTACTTGAATTAACACAAATTACTGTTCATTTTTTTAGGTCACCAATTAGAATATTCTTAATGAAATGAAAAGGTTAGAGAAGCATACAATCCTGATAAGACTAAGCGCCTTTTGCCCAGATTTAGCAGAATCTCTTCTTTGCCATAAGTGGTGCTCCTTCTTTCCAACTCCTCCTTTCCCTTTTCTGCATTCCAAGTTAAAAAAGAAATCACGAATAGGATACTCAAGGCTTGGAATACACCCTATTTGACCTATAAAGCTTGTCATGCATTGTAGCATTAAATGATGAAGCATGAAGTATACAGTACTATACAAAATGGGAAGCAGAAGTTGATAGCAACTTATCGGGAAAATAAGATAACTTACTTTTCCAGCACTCTGGGTCTACCTAGTGCTCTTCCGTTATGGCTGAGAGATGATTGGATCAAAGGAAAAGCTAATGCACTTCTGATATAATTTTTCTGCGATGAAAACAAGTATAATCAGAATTTCCCAAATCAAAATTAAGTCAAAATGCTACATTGAATATCTCCTGTCTTTTCATTAATGGTCAACACTGTACCTTGTGTGAGCCACATGTTATAGGCTTTGAAATTCTATAACCAAATAGCAGAGCTCCAATATCTGCCTTAGTCTGAAGCAACATTCTACTACCGTCCATACTCTATCAAAAGCATTACATAATGAAGTGGTTTTTCTGAGCAACTAGAATATAAGACCACAATACATGCCATTACCTTAAATTCTACTGAAGACAGAATCGGACAAGAAATTGAATTTCCACATTTAACAAGCATCATACTTCTGTTACTCTTTAGACTCAGCTCGCTCAATATCTCAGATGACATGAAACAAAGGCTTCGTCATTGTATCCCTCATCAACAGAATTCCTCAACAAACCAAAAAGAACATACCTGTCCATATAACATAATTGAAACGAAAACATCAAAACAACAATATTCTTAATAAAGAACTAACTGCCCGCTGTAGTATTCTCCAATAAGTCAGTATCCTTAAACCCACATAAAAGCGCTGCTTAGAGATTAATTTGTATAGGGAGGATTTTCAAACTGCCACATTAAGAAAACATAAAGCTAGGCACCAATTTTCTCAAACATCACATGCAAGCATTTTATCAAACCGCTAAACTGCATCTCCCTGGGACAATCCAGCAGAATCGCAAGCAATGAACAACGAATATCCATGATGAATAGAGAGACTTTTACGTCACCCAGTGCGATTCCTCCTCACAAAAGCCATCACATCTCTCAGGACCTTTTATCTTTTCTTTAGCAGTATCATATCAATGAAGCAATGTCAGACTAGAGACTAATAAGCAATAACAATTCAGGAAGCCCCGCTGCACAAGCAAAATACGAAGTTTTTAACAAAGCCACCAAGGAAATAGATGCCCCAGAAGGCCAGCAGAGGATTAAAATCTACGTGCTCTAAAATGCAAAGGAAAAAAAATTTAACCAAATCTCTATGAATAGAATCCACCTCAACCAGAAATTCTTGGCGAGGCAAAATAAGAACAGGAAGCAGAGACAATACCCAAGCAAAGAGCTTTCCTCTCTCTAAAAACAGGGTGAAAAGAGGAAAAGGCAACTTGTTTAGCAGCTACAGCTTGCCCAGAGGTGCCTTGCGGGCGGGGCCTCCCTTGTTTCCTCTTTGCAGGTTCGAGCTGGGAGAAGACGGAGGAGGCCAAGGAATCAGAAGGAAAATTCGCAGCTGTAAATTATTTGCTGTAGAGATATTGGGTAATGGGCAGTATGCCAGCATAAGATAAAAGCTCACGTTCTCTTTAACCGCGACGTCAGTCATGACTCCGCTGGGCAATAACGGCAAAGACGGGGAGCGAAGAGCAATCACTGAAGCATGATCATAAAGCCCAATTGACGCCTCTGGCCCATTGCTCATGAACTGCGTCATAGTGTCATGCTGTGTAAGTCTAGAATAAGGGAAAGTCCATTCACATTATCCAAAAAAAAGAAAAAAAACCAATTAGGATTGAGTCTAGATGGAGTTAGTCCTTGACAACATAACGAATCAATATTCAAATCTCTACTGAAAAAAGTATCTACATTTGGTACTTGATAGTATTTCGAATAGAATTACCTATAATAAGACAATACATATACTTTAGCAAAAAAAAAAAAAGTGCATTGCTTATGAAAACATTAGTAGCTGATGTTAGTTTGTTATTCTTATTGTTCAAAGTTGACGAATCATTAATTTTACAAAGGGTGTATTGCAAAATATTAAAAATCAGACCAATCAATGAATTGATCAAGACAATAGTTTAAGAACTAATGATTCAAACCGGAGTCAACTCATAATTAAACTAGTCATTTAAAATAATATAATTCAACTAAAATATAAAAAAGATTTTAACTCAGATAAATAAAATACTTATATAAAGCACACGTAATCCAATAAAAAAAAGTTAATAAAACCACAGTTATGATGGATTGTTATTTTTTTTTCTTTTTTATAACCTCAAAAGAGGTGTGGTTAAAAGGTACATATAATCCAACTCACGATACATTTGAAGTTGAAAAGAGGCGATGAGTGGCTTGGAGGGAGAAAAAGTTGGTGAATAATCCACTTGCTCTTGTTAATTAATTAACTGTAATTTAAGCAACTCCTTCATATATTTAAAAAAAAAAAAACATTTGTCCTCTTCTTTGGAGTACGCCATTGCTAACCATTTCTAATCTCCAAAACCTTCCTTGCCTTTCTATGAAGATGCCTTCCTTATCTTCTTTTGTATGTTCATAAATTATAGTTTTTTTTTAATATTCATAAAGTCGTGTATTTAAAACAAGTGATAAAGTGACGAACAGAGATTAATTAGTTTGAGTATAAATGATTTGATTTCCTTTAAATAAGACTAAGTATTCAAAATCTATGGGGGGGAAAAAGCTCTTTTTTCCCCTAAAAAAGAAATAATTCAAAACAATATATTTTAAGTTGCGTTCAAATACCAATCCAATCATATTGGTGTAGAAGTAAAAGTTGTCATTTGTAGGAAAATCATATTTCGAAATCACATTACACTAAAACTGTATGTATCTAATTCAGATATTAAATGCTAATATTAAAAAAAGAGTGATCTGGGAATATAAGATTGTGCCATTTTATCCTTACTTTTTTTATTATATTATATACAACCAATTCATGAATATAAAATGTGTGTTTGCCTTCTCTCTTATATAAATCGAATTATCATGAAAGTTGGTTCAACTTGTTCAAACGTGTTTATCAACAACAAGTTTATTGCTGTGACAAGGTTACCTATTATATTTGGATGAATTTTGAATTCCAATTTTGATGTTGACATGTTTGTATGTATGAATGTAATTAAATTGATTTTGATAAAAAGAAAACTTGTTAATCCTAAAATATTAAGAGTGAAAGAAAAGAATTAATTTAAACAATTTATGGAGTATGGAATTCCAAATAAATAACAGCAATTCTAGTTGCAAGCAAGGTTTAGGGATGAAGATAATTGCCTCTCACAAAAGTTTAATCTGGGGACTAATTTAATTAATCAAATAAAATAATATTAGCATTATTGAAACCATTTCTTAGCGTGTACTTGTTTCTGTATGTGAATGTAAATCAAAAGTTGACATGTAAATCTTTTTGTGGGAAACTATGCTTTTGTATGAGATTTGTATGTATGTAAAATTTACATCTGTCTTTACATTTTCTTTTTTCCAACCACCTCTGTTTTTTTTTTTTGCATTGCATATAGTTAAATAGATGAGTTTATATATAATATTGTGTACAGGGACATGTGAAGGATGCTGGCAAGAATACATCTACTTGTGATGAAAAATTATATTAAAAATAATCTCTATTTATCATCAATTGTTGTGCCTACTGAACTAATCCAAACGAAATAAGGATTGATTATTCTTAGCCTTTTGTGTGCCATGACTTCATCTCAGGAAATTTCTGCTGCCCTTCCTTGCCTAGTTGCCTAGAATAGAAAAATATCCCACCAACTCCAATGATTGCTTTCCTGTTTTTCATCTTAATTACTACTTCTGGTTTTAAATATAAAGCATTATTTATAATATATAAACGAGATTTTACATTTAAGATATGAAGTAATATATAGTAATCCATCTGACATGAGTCAAGTTGGGCATGATGAAAAAGATGATGAAGCATTTAAATCCAAATTTCAAAATCACTAGCTAATTAAATTTGTACAAACGCCTACCTATGAAATCACAATGCTTATTAATGTTATGTAAAGTACTAAAAACTTCGACTTGTCGCTAAATTGCTCGAGCTAATGGTTCAAGAATTAATAGTTTAATCGGGATAAGGTTGATTGGGATTAAAATAATATAATTTGGTTAAAATATACAAAAATATCCATTTATAACCATGAAAAAATAATACTCTTCCGGTCCTAGATATAAAACTATTATATTTAGGACCGGCTCTTATATCTAGGCCCGGAGGAGTAGTTAAATAAAAAATATGAATCTATAAGTAAATAGAACAATTATGCATACGCTACACATACTCTAGAAAAACGAAGTGACCAAAGCATAATTATAATGGAATGCCATTTTTTCTTTAACTCAAAACACGTCATCTTAGACTCAGCAAAGTAGGAAAAATTGTAAGAAATCTAATTTAAGCCCGTCCAAGTAACTATAAACTAGGGTCAATAAGGTTGATCCGGAATCAATTACCGTAATTTCTAGTTTATTTGGGTGACCAGTTCACCAATTTCCAGGTCAACTTAATCGGTTGAGCCCGACTTTTTATGCACTAATGTTATAACTATCTATTTTTTTAATGATATCAATTTATTTGTTTTTCAACTTTATTCCTATTTAATATACATTATACCTCTTATAAACAAAGTCAATATAATAATAAATAAGGAGTAAAATTGTATATCCATACAAAAAATTTCTCTCAATGCCTTATAAATAGGACTAAAAAATATTTTCTCTCTTTGTTCTGTAAATAGGACCAGAGGAATACATGTTTTGAAATAATTTAAGAATTTGTAGGACATTTTGTGAAGCATTTTCTCTCTCATTTAGAGGTGTTTAAATAGAAACCAAATTATAATTTTTAAAATACTTTTACGATATGCGGAAGAATTTATTTCGTTTTATCAAAAATCCATTTACTCATGCTTTGACTCGTTACTGTAAGAATCATACGTCCTTCTTATTCACTTCCACATTATTACTCCTATTTCGAATTCACACTTGGGATGATATGCCATTTTCATATGCGTCATTCTCAATTCGATCACAAGTTAAAATTAAATCTCAATATGTGTATCTAAATTCTTAAATTGATCTATTTAATTTTGTAGAATAAATAAAACTATATATATATATATATATATATATATGAATGTATCTTCAACGTATTCCCTGTGGTAAGATTTCTAATTTAGTCCTACTTAACTTGCCAATACAGATAACTGATAAGTTCAAATTAAAGAGACTCAAAGCTTCTTAAGTTGAAGATTATCTTTTTTTTTTTGGGGCCGACGACGATTATCTTGTTGGTAATATATACTACCTCCGATCCTAATTATAAGAGCCAGTTGACTAATTTGAGGAGATTAAAGAAGTAAGTTGAGTTAGTTATTTTTCCTAAATAGGTGTTGTCTTTCCTAAAATATCTTTACTAATCAAGTGTATTGACTAAAACTATAATTATTAGAAGGACTATCTTGGGAAAAATTGAGTAAAGATGAGAGATAAAGTGGATTGGGGTCTTATATTTAGGACCAAAATAAAAGTTAAATAGGGTCTTATATTAAGGATCAGAGGTAGTATTTACGAATCCCCCAATGTTCGATCAACGCTTAATTAATCAATACCGTCAAATATCAAATAATTATTTGAGAAAAATGGTCTGCAAGTTCAAATACTAGGATTCGTTTAACATACTAAGCTCACATCTTAGCTTTAGCTTCAGCTTCAATGCGGGTCGACAACTAATTGCATATAAGATTTGGCATTAAAAATTGTTATGCCTTCATAAAAGAGTACGCCAATTTTATATTTTACTCGATTCTTTGAAATACTCCCTCTGTTTCTTATTATAAGAGGCATTTGGTGCTTATGGCATGTTTCTATATATAAGAGACACTTAAAAGTTGTCTCTACTTTTTTGTGTTGATTTCCTATTTTACCCATATTTATTGTCTCAAACTCACACTCTCTCTCCTTCCCACTTCTCTTTCTTTTAATAAATTACCATTGTTCTCTCCTTATTAATGAGGGCATTTTTGGAAAAAAAATTATACTTTTTACATATTAATTGTTCTTAACTAATTTTAACTGTTTTTTTTATCAACGTAATTTGGTTATTCGTCTCTTATAATAAGGAACAGAGGGAGTAGTTAGTAGATCACAGCTAAAATTTAACGGTCATTCTTACTTGGATTAAGATGTATTCAGCACCCTGAAATATGTTTTTTAGGCGCATCATCCAGCATTTTAAAGTATTTTGTGATATATTCAGCACTCTAAAATACTTTTTAGGTATGTGTAATATTGTAAAGTATTTTTTTGGTACATCTAATACTTCAAAGTATTTTTTTAATTGTGTCCAACACCCAAAAAAAAATTTTCTGCATCCAGCACCAAGACCAAAAAATATTTCAGAATGCTAAATGCACCTAAAAAATATTTTAAAATATTAAATGTATCGTAAAATATTTTAGAATATTAAATACACTTAAAAAAATATTTTTAAATGCTAGATGGATTTTAATTCATCTTCCTCCTTGTCTTTTGTCTTTCCTTAAGTGTTCGTGGAGATCCGTGTCAAGAAATAAAATTAAGGACATCAACGCTGGAAGCTGATGAGATCCAAATTGAGATGGTAGCACTACAATGTACTTTAAATATAAAATATATAATATTACTATATAATAAGTAATGTATTTGGAATTGAGCACGATTTTTTTGGCCATCGATCGGCATTCAATTAATTGGAACAATGAGTTAAGATCAATGGCTCTCATTTTTTTCCGCCAGCCAGGGATCAAATTCAAACCAATCATAATTATTAGGATAAACCACATACGTACTGTTATGTTTTTTAAAACTTAAAATAACGTTATTTTAGACTCAACAATAAGGAAAAAATATATAAAATCTAACCCAATCTACGTGTCAAAAAACTCTTGCCCTGACAGAGCAAGAAATTGCTTTCACCAATTCACTGATCTAATCGAGCCACTCAAATTGAATTTTAACACTGTAATAATAAGAATGCTGAAATTAAGGTCGGAAAAAAATCAGATTTTATCTGAAATAACCATCTAATATAAAAATACGTCGTCATATATTCTAAAAATTTTATTACTGTAACAATAGAATAAATGCATTTTTACTAATTGTTTAAAAAAATAATTATATGCTAGTATTAATTAATTATGGTTACATAATAGTAATTGAAAGTCATAATGGTCTTAACTCTCCCCACGCAAGGCATTAACCAAATGATAGAAATTGAGTAAAGCAAAACAGCATCTTGGTTCAGTACTCGTCTAGGTACAATTTTTTAGAAACCTCAAAATAAATATACCTATTAATTGGTTCCTACGTATACCCTGAATCTGGACATGTAAAAAAGAGCACTGATTAATATCATTAAAAAAGAAAAAGAAAAAGCACTTGTTCGACGTATAAATAATCCAAAACTCAATTAAATAAAGCTGCAAACCAACTAGGTCAAGCAACTATTAATCTACAAGGAACTACATTCCTGATGATACAAGTTAGAATGAAGAATAAATTTTCCAATAAAAAATAGGAAAAATTACAATGAAGCCTTAAAAAAATAAATATTAATAAGTTTTAATGACAAATGAGCAATTTTTCACACTAAAATTTGCCATTATAGATTGTTTTATTGTCAATAAATTTTTTAGTAATTATATCCTTTATTTGAAACTTTATAGCAATTCCCAAATAAAAAAAAAACACTCGCTTGTAATTCAATTATATCATGCCTCTAATCACCTCATCTAAATTAAAGAGATATGATTAAGTTTGAAAATTACGTTCAAAATATTATTAGACATTAAATGTGAAAACTTTTCTTGAGAGGAATTCAATTCAAATCTTAATTAATTATATTATATTTTTTTGGACTGAATAATTAATTATATTATAAGGACTAATCTTTTCTGGTAAATTCATCCTACTATTTTTTCCATGACTTCAAGTAGAGATGATATGGAAGGGAAAATGATTATAAAAATATGTGGGCCATTAGTATAAATGAAATAGAAGTAGGGACCACAGGTGAAAAGTCATTGGTATAATTTCTTGGGCCAATTAAAATTCATAATAATCTGTAATGACGCCATTTCACAACACATTCCAATCAAAGAGTGCTTGCTACGACTCTCCAATTCTGTCATTATAAAAACCCAACCTTCACTGTTCCATTTCCAAAGCTTCAAACTTCAAAAGCCTTTCTCTCTCTTCTCTCTCTCTCTCTCTCTCATGGCTGAAGAATTCCAAGAAGCCGACGTCATCTTCTCCGATCACCACCGGCAGAATCCTCCGCGTGCTGCCACCTCGGACGGTGAGGATGACTATCGGAGTGACATTTCGCAGAGAGAGCTGGATTCGCGACGGGTTAAGTTGAAGAGGAGCAAGAAGAAGAAGAAGAAGAAGGAGATGGCAAATTCGATGCCGGTAAATATACCAGAGAGGATCTTTCGGCGAACGGATTCGGATGACGAGCTGCTGGAGGAGGAATGGGAGGACGAAGGAATGGTGCCGCCATACGTGATCGTGAATCGGAGAATCGCCGGGAAAATGGCGTTCTCGGTGTGTACAGGGAACGGAAGGACCTTGAAGGGACGGGATTTGAGCCAAGTTCGGAATTCAATTCTGAGAATGACTGGATTTTTGGAAGCGTAACTGTTTTCATTTTGCGACCTAAATTGCGTTTGGCGATACGGAGAATGAGATGGAAATTAAACTGTTTCAACAAGTCTCAGCTAGCAGTTAGTTAATGACGTTCTTCTTCTTCTATGGATTACTGAGAATGCTTAGAAGTCTTGCACAGATTGTGACAGGAGAAAAAATACATTCAGATACATTGATTTGAGATTAGAGAAGAGGTGAAGTCATCGTTGTTGCTTAATTAGTTCCTTAATCTTGAGGCTTTGCTTTGGTGCAATGGATTTCCCTTTCTTGGATAATTTGCTTAATTAGGATTAGCTTGTGGGTTTGTAGATTGTATTGCAGGTTTGATTAAGCTTGTGGTTTTCTATGGATTTTCCAGCTAAAATCTCTGGAAAGTGGAAACTACCAAAATGCTTCCTCCTATTATATACACACACAAACAACCTCCAGTCTTTAATATAAAATCTTATTTGACTTTTATTTTGGTTCTAATTATAAAATTCTAATTTACTTTGTCTCATATATTTGTGTTTTTTTTTTCAAAATAGTCTATCTAATAATGGTAGTTCTAGCCGATAAACTTAATTAACAAGAATATTTTAGAAAAGATAACACCTATTTATTACAAGTAACTAACTTAACTTATTTCTTTAATTTTTTCAAATTAGTCAACTAGCTTTTATAATTAGGACCGGAGATAGTATATATGATTGCATATATTTGTTTATCTTATTCCTAAGTGATCCCAAATTGCTTTTATCATATTGATATATAGGATGTTAAAAATGTAATTAAAAATTAAAAATTATTATTATGCAAACAAAATTTTTATGAATGATGGAAATATATGGAGGTTACTTTGCCTAAGCCCAAGTTGCGTATGAAGATTTAAACATAACCAAGTAAACAATCCACCTAAATCCTAATCATGCAATGTTTGTACCGAGTCTGTTTTTCGCCATTAAAAATTGTATAATTTAAAAAGAAGAGTGAATTTAATTTTATTCTTTTCTACTGCTCTCTCCTATTCTCATTATAAGTTTTAAATAACCGATTTACAAATAACCAAAAAATTAGTTAAAATTAGTTTAAAGTAATATATAATAAAAAAATATTGTTTTATTTTTAAATATATTCTTACAAAAAATGAGAAAAAGGATTAAAAATGTACAAGAAAAATGTAATGAGAAAAAGAGTGAGGCAATAGAGAGAATAATTTAATAAGGGTAAAATTAGGAAAAAAAATTAAATTTGAAACAAATTCAAATTAAAACTTATAAAATAAATCACACACCTCTTCAAATCTAAAGCTCGTAAATAATACAAGGAGAAGTACTATATTTGCTGGACAAAATATTCTCTTTTTATGATGATGAAACTACAGCACAAAACTTAGCCAGGATAAAACATTCTGCCAAACCGGAAAAAAAAAAATGGAAAAGCCCAGGCAGCTAGTTAGATCTATTTTGTAATAATTACTTTGGGTCCCACTTATAGGGAAAAATTTTAAAGTGCTGTTCATCTTAAATTTAGGGTGAAAATATGGTAATTAAAATTATTTCCAATGTCAGCCCTCCTCAATTTTGTAACAAGTGGCGTCTTTAATTTTAATTCTTAATTAGACACCACTTCACTATATGATTTTGATTTCAGTTAAAAGAAAGTTTTGAAAAGTCATATATTTTACTACAAACTTAAGAATAAAAATATTAGCTATTACTTCTTAAAAATAATCAAATTAGTTAATTCTGTCTTATAATTAAGACAGAATGTAGTAGTATTAGTAGTAGTAATAATAATAGTAATAATAATAATAATAATAAATATTGTGTTATGTTCTAATCTATAGTATGTGAAGGTAGCTTACTACAAGAAGGAAACGAGACCATAAATTGGAACATGGGTTTGGTTGAATTATGATTAGGCAGTAGTTAGTTATAATAAAATGATACAGATCGGAAGGGACAATATTAAATTAAAGTCTTCATTAATCGAATTCTATATTAGTATTAGCGTAAAACTCAAAATTACACGTCTTCCTCTAATTTACGTTTGGCTTCTTTTGTGGAAAATTAACGTTATTCACTTTTTTATAATTATTATTTTCAGGTTCTGCTTAAGGAACCTCGTCATTTCGGGATCGAACTATTTTTAATTAAATAACTAACTTGTGATGAGAGATTTAAATTTGAAGCTTTCGTGATATGTAGTTATGCCATTAGAAAATTTGCCATGCAATCAATGTGTGTTCATTGATAGTATTATTATTAACTACTCGTTATGGTACATTATTATAAGGATCTATTTAATTAATTACATAGACTAAAAAAATTGAATTAAAATTAATTAATATTTTAATAAAAGGAAGTTGTTTAGTTCGCTAGAATATTATTTATTTAATGACATTTAGAAAACCTGAGGGTAATAGAAAATATTCTTTAATAAGGACAGAATAATTAAATGAAAAAAATTAGGAAAAAGTCACTCATTGAAAATTTTAATGATGAGAATAATCTGATAATAATTTTATACATACAAAGTGCTGATAAATTTGTATACGTAGAAAATATCGATACTTGGCAAATTCTATACATACAGTGTAATAATGTTCTGATTTAAATTCTTCTTGCCAATAAAATTTTTAATGAAAAACTTGTTTTTATCAATTTTTCCTAACTATTAAATTAAATAATGCACAATTACTCAGTCAACTGTGTCCAATATAAAATGCAAGCTTGCGCCACATTAACTATGTAACGTGTTCAAGTTACACAAGCTCCATCGGTTTACTTGTTCTTGAAATTAAAATAATGAAAGAGAGAGGAGTTATTGTTTGGATCTTATCCAATTTGTCCAGCCAGGATAAATTTTATTTTATTTTATTTTTGTTCAACGACTTATTACAAACAAATTGAATTAATGTCAATAGTAACGTATATGAGTTGAAAACTTTGAATATACGTTAAGTTTTCGAATGTATTTTTTTTAGGCTCATACATATAATTGGCGAGCATTTATATGAGTAGCTCTCCGGTCATAAATTTAAGTCAGTTGTAGGAAAAAAAATTAATTTTAAATATAATTCACTTGTTGTATATTTAATGCTTATTTTTTAGTATTATTTTTACTTAATTCTCATGAGAAAGACAAAATGAAAAAAGATACCACTATATCAGAGATATGAAAATAATTTATAAATATAGAAGTAATTTGAATAAAGTAAAATTAAATTTTTTTGGGTCAATTTAATGCATTCCTTTTGTATACAAAAATGTGTTAAAAGTAATTTATATTAAAAGTCGGAGTGGTATATAGCATTACAATTAAAATATTTTTAAAGTTTACTTTAAAAGAAATTTACATAATTTTGCGTGAGCATTTATTAAAGTAGATACTGTATTTTTTTTTCTAGTTTTCTCTCTAATTGTCTTTACAAAAGTCATAACTTATAAACAACATAGCTTCTATAATATAAATATCCTACTATTAGGGTTATGAATGATCTGTTGTAATATACTCCTCCGGTTCTTAATATAAGACTTATTTAACTAATTTGATTACATTAAAGAAGTTAGATAAGATAGTTAATTAAAAGTAATATGACATATTTTTTTTAAAACACCATAACATTTTTCTTAATATGCTTCCTCTCTCACTTACTTAATTATGATTCAAAGAGTATAGATAGAGATAATTTAGAAAAAATTGACAAATATAAGAAATAATTCTTATAGTTATGATCAAAATTAACTTAATAATTAGGTTTTATATTAAAGACTGGAAAAGTAATAGTTATTATTAGAAATCTGTAGACTAGTGTGCTTCTTTGATTCTCTACAATTGATGCAGAATGAGAAAATCTCAATTTTTTTGGTCACTTGAAAAGAAAAAAAGGTTGTTAATTAGAGTCAACTAGATATTATAGTTTATGGAAGTAAACTTTAACTTAATCTCTAAGTTTGTATTTTATTCTGATGGCCCAAGTGTGCGGTTGTTGGGATGCAAATTTATTTTAATGTCATTTTCAAAGTTACTCAATTTCTTTCCTTCTTTTTTCCTTTTCACTTTCAATTTCACGATGAAAGCTAGACGTAAAAAGAATAAATTATATTAAATATATTTTAATTCTCGTACTGAATTAGTGCACCTTTGTCACTTAAAAGAAAAAAAAAACAGAGACTTTATGCCACCTTGAGTTTGACTCAGTTATTATATAAATATATATACTGTGTTTGAGTTTAATTGAATTAATAACTAATCCTCTAAATTAATCAAAGAATTAATTATGGGTATATAATTCTCTCTTAAGAAAACTATTATGTTTCAATTCAACTCTTGCCCGAAATCATATATAAATAGTTTCAATTACTACAGATAATTACGGGTTCCCTAATTTTAATATTATTAGTTTTATCAGAAAAAAAATAGTGGTATTGAAGTTTTAAATGTCAATATCAATATTTTTAGATATTGACATATTAAGTTTTTTTTATTTTATAATGATCAACACAAAAAATATCATTTGAAATTAATAATATTATGGGTTATAAATAAAAAAATACTTTATAAAACTAAGAAATCAAACTAACATATTATGTAAAACTATACAAAAAAACATATTTTTACCAATTTAAGAAAATAGGTGAACAAAAATGGCCCTGCTAGAGGCTAGACCCCTTCTGCTGCTGGTCGTTGGTATGAAATTGAAGCACCACTGCTAAAAAGCACTAACTCCATTTTAAAATATACTCATTTTGAATGATATAAAAAAAAATTGGAGGGGAAAAAAGATAAGAGAAAATGACAATAAAATACCTTCTGAATTTCAAAATGATAAATAAGGCATCCGAATAAACAAAATGACAAATAAGACATTAGGTATCAATATGAAATTTTGATTTTTTTGTCTCAAAACATGTTACAAAACTTATTGACAAAGTAGTAGCTCTCACTATAAAAGTTGTAAATCCACTATTTGTTTTGTAAAATTCAGTGTGAAATTGTATTTTATT